ACATAACAACCCCCACCCCTCAGCTCACGGGTGGTGCCCAGCCCTCAACCTCGCCTTTTCTCTCCCCTACACAAAAACCACGCTTGTCCTAGCTCCCTTCCCCAACCCCTCCCACACTACTGCTTTCACTTGCATACTTGCCCTTCCCCCTTCTCCCTCAATGCTCTCACATATCTGTGTATTTTTCCACAGTCTGCTTTCACCGGTTCTCACGGTCTCTTTGCTTGCAGATTCTTATATATTTTTTTTTCTTCTACCCTGAAGATGGAGGCGATACGTTCCTCCGAAACGTCGGTTAACACCACATATACACGGTGCCAAATCCCATAAGACTGCTTTCTTTATTGCCTTTACTTGTTTCAGCCTGCTGACCTTCTTCAGAAGGCATAAGATTAACATGGCCATAAAATACTATAAGAAAGGTTGTTACACATACTTAGAAGTTTTTATATAAAAGTGCTTCAAAACATAGCAAAACGGAAACAACCAGACAACACAATAATACAGAACCATAACAAACCACATAAAAACGCGGCAACACTGTGAGGACCTCTGAAGACTCTGAATTATGCCCGAACTTTCTGTTTTCACAGAACAGGCACAAGGCCACAAACCGTATTGGTTCAAGATCTTAAATGTTAGGAGTCAGTAACATCTGAATCCAAATAATTGTAAATATCTTTTTATATAAAAACTTCTCTGCATCATGTAATTTATAATAGTAGTTCCTGAAGATGGTCACAGCTGGCTGAAACTAGTAAGGCAATGAATATCTACAAACTGGATCACACTGGACGGTGATAATAATTAATCTATAATTTACTCCATATGCACATCCTTAAAGGAGACTTCAAGCTTCAAAATTCCCCGTTAAAATTTCAACGGCATTTACTGTAGTCCAGAATAAACGCCATAAATCAATCATTAAGACATTAAATCAATGCTCGGAATATGACATCCACTGCTAACAAACAGAAATTAAAGGTATTAACAATACCTTAAAACTAAAATTCCTATGTACATCATTTAAATCACAGATCAGAATAATTCCACGTTTAATAAAAATTAGCCAATTTATCTTTAATCTTCTTTTTCTGGTTTCAAGGTACTCCTTGTAAGACTCCTTGGGCGGGTAATCAGCTCATCACAAGACCTCTATCTGTACACAAACTCGGAAAAATGCACATACCCACACAAACACCAAATATGCATGCCCTGAGTGGGATACAAACCCACGATCCCAGCTTCTGAGGCAGCAAAGACAGCACATGCACTACATCGATTAGCTGTGACCGGCAGTTTATAATATTAATTTGTAAAAATTCCAATTAACGCCATCAGTTAACAGTATAGCTCTAATATGTATCATGGTACCATACAGAATTGATCCATTTCATGTTGCAAAACTCAGAACTTTTAAGGTACTAACTGTTTATGCATATTAAGCCTAGATCACACAAATTGTACACCAACCAAAAGTCCAATTATGCACTACGCACCTGTGTAAGTAACAGGCTGTATGGAAGGGGTTAAAGTAGGAATAAAAGTAATAATTTAAAATAAGTACACTTATTATTAAAATATGTACTGTTTTTAATTAATGACATAACATAATAAATTTAAAATAATGCATCTGTAGGCCCATTCATAGGCTGAACCAATTGCAGTTCCTGACTATCAAAACTTCAACAGTCATCTCAAAATATTATATGATGTAATTTATGAATAAGCCACTGCAGAACTGCGAACACACTGTAACAGTTGTTCTGCTTGGAAGGATAAATTCTTTCAAGTCAACCTTGCTCCACATAAACACCTTGAAATATTTCAATACATAAGATAAAAAAGTACAGACATTATAACAACACAACTAATATAAAATGGCTTTGACGTACATTTCATTTACACAATCAACTCTGATATATATAGCAAATACCTTTCCTCTTGCTCATGAACAACACAACATATTTTCAATATAATATATATGACACTCGTGTATCTAAAATATTGTGGTTTATTTCTCTTGAAGTATTTACAACTTGAGCTCCAATAGAAGCATCATGTGAGAGAATTTAAGAGTAATTCTGGCAAACTTTCATTGTCTGGGACTTAGTATAAACACATCTGTAGGTCCCAAAGTATGTACTTTATCCAGAGGCTTTTAATTTGAACACGAAGCAAAGAAGCAGTTCATGGAGGTCATTTTTTTATAAAATTAACAAGTCTGTGGAAATTTAAGCTTGAACTATAATTTGAAAATCAAATACAGCACAAGTAGCTAATTTAACACTATATGAACATAAGAGAACAGAAACTTCTTCCAAACAACTGACAGTTATTGAACTGATCAATAACTTTCTGTTGTTACTGTATAGTTAATCAGCAAATTCTGCATTGGGCCTTACGTCAGTACAATTTTCACTTCTTTACATCTTGTTTCTCTATAGGTGACATAATGAAGGCACAGAGTTCTACTTTTTCCACAGATCAACTTCTTTGAGTACAAAGCCCTGCCATGGAGAGCTCCTAGAAATCCCAAAGTTACTTGGGGTCAAATTCCACTGATCACAAAAAAAAAAAACCACAATACATCAACAGATTGCCCTCAGTTGACTACTGACATATGCCACCTGAAAGCTTATTCTTTTCTCTAAACATTAATATATAGCATTTAATGCCATCTTGAAACAGAAATGCTTTACTGAGTGACTGACACTGAGCCACTCTCCTTGGCTGTGACAGTTCGAACCCAAGTCTGCATAGCTGACCTAAAAAGTTTGTAGAATGCAGAGAGTTAAAAATGTGAAATTCAGGTCTGGGCATGTATTGACTTATTTTCCCAATATGACGTGATGAATAACAAAAATTGCAGATACGTATTCTGTCACAATGAACATCCAAAAGTGGGAATCTGGATAACTTTCATTCAGGAGTTCCAGTTCAAAATTCAAGTTTCATCATGTGTAACACCTTCTGTTGAAACAAAAATGTACGTATATTATGTTATGATACAGTTCAATACAGACTGATATGATCATCAAATATCTTTTCCAGATATTTCTATACTCTCACAAGTAGACAACAGTAACAATTGTATCTCAGACGCAGTCAATGTGTCTTAAATTAACAGCTGGACAATGCAGTTGACCACACATAACTATCAAATAGCGAGCGCATGCACACAAACTCAGGTAGTACTGCATAACTTTCAATATTAAGCCCAAACCCAAATATTATGATTATCACACACAAGTGACTCAATTCAGGAAATTTATCTAGCAGCGTGTCATAGTGCATCTAAAATAACAAACAGAGACTTGTGTCATAGTGCTTAGTTGCAATGAACACAGCTCCACAAGAACACAATTCGGCTACTCCAGTGTTCAGGTTCATTTGTATCACTGATGCGTACTAAAGGATCTAAATCAGAGGCAGAAAAAATATCTACCAATGAGCATGATACACTGACTTTTCCCAGCACTCCATTTGGCCACAAATATACCTGTCAGGCAAATTAGAAGGACTTTGAAAACAGAAGTAACATCTCCAAATCTAATATTTCTTTTACATTCTTCGCTTACCTGGCAAAGGGTGGGAGTGCCCTTTGGCCATGGTTACAGAATCAGAAAACATAAAAACTGAAACATATTACAACAGATAATGGCAACAATAAGGAAAATCTCCGAAATTTATACAACACTGAATTGAAGAAATTCTCTTTTAACAAATTCAAATTCTCATTCAGCAATAGAGAAATCTTTTTTGTATGTTCCATGATGATATAAAACAGTATCACATTTACAAATGAATATGGCTAAATTCCATCTTATTTGAGGAGCAATGGATATATCTTGACTTTTAAGATTCACAAATAGTGGATAAATTTTGTTTTGGGTTCTCTGTTCATAAAATGTATTGAAACCTCACAGGACAGTAAAAATTTACACATCAGTGAGATGTACTAGAAGTTCAGTATAACCACATTGCCTTACACACAGTGCTGGTTCTACTGTGTTAGATCCAGTAACCCTAGCAGACTTCAAATGGTATCAAAGTATAAGTTACTGTCCTCAGTATGTCATGGTATCTGTGCTCTGTTGGAAGACATTACATTAGCATGCTGAACGGATACTTCAAAATATGCAAAAGTTCAGTCTTTTTGTCATCCTGATTTCTCCTAACTTAAAACAGAAAAATGAACATGAAAAGCTTTAAAACAGAGTAAACCCTCACTAATCTTGCGTTATCTGGATTAAGTGATAATTCAGATTAGTGAAGCAAAGAATAGATCTAAAAGAAAAAATATAACACAAATAAATCAAAAATTTAATGATATAAGTATAGTTAGTGCCTCGTAACTTTAGCCATGCGGAAAGGTAAATGCTGTTGCGGAGCACGCGAAGCTGTACGCTTGCTGTGGTGACGTTCAGAGCTACTCCCCGAGCGGAAAACATTGCCTACGGAGACCAGGGATACTGCACAATTGATAGTGAGGTTGTGTGCCACTATAGTTACATGAACACCACATAATACAATCACTATGACTGGTACCAACTAACAAGCAACATAACGTATTATACACCTGACCACACTCCAAGACGCTACATTCCAAACTGGTAGTACCCACGCTGACATAAGCTGATAAGACTGCTCTCCCAGCTCCACAAGAGATGTTATAACCCCTCTACCACAGCTAGAATTCCGAGGAACTAACAGTAGTGCTGATGAAAATAAATAAAAAAAATATATCACTGTAGGGTTTACTGTAAGAAAATTTAAGGATCTCACAGAGGTGAGTATGAAGAGCACATTCTTCTGGTTCATAATGCTGTGCAGTTGGGTGAGTGCCCAATGTTTTGAAGGAACATGCATCTCCATCTTCGAGGTCAAAGAGTGAGCCACACATTCAATGGCCCATGAGACAAATACTCTGATTCAATTAAGGTTCCAGTAACCTTACAGAATACAGACACAATCACAAATGTGCTTCTGCCTCTCATACTAACTGATCGTTAACATTAATAATATGTAATATTGATTGCGTAACAAGTGATCACATAATTTCTTACACAAGACATTTTAGATATGAAATCAAAACACAACAAACTTGCACTGCTCATCCTAATTTTTTCCGTCATTAACTTGATACATGCCTGTTATATGTCTGGTTGCATATAACAGTCAACATTTCAGTCCTCGCTCATTGGCACGTAAGTAAATCACAAATATATCAGGCAAAACGGATTGTCATCACTGTTAACTTACGCTGCCTCCCGCCCTGTGCTGCTTACGAGTAAAAGAAACAGAAATGGTGTTCACTTGTACTACAGCACTCACGAACACTTACATTTTGATTGGTGTAGCTGTGTCATTCTGACATAACAAGAAGCTCCATGCTTTTTAAAGAGAGACAGTATGACAATGTAGGTCTGCCTAGTCTAGTGGTAATGTGCTCACCAATGGACCCAAGTTTATCGGTTCAAATCTGACCACAGTCAACGGATTTTGAAGGTATTTAAAATCTACAGCAAAGTCCTTTAGAAGGGAAGTACAGCCAGGGGTATCAAATGTACTTGCCGTACATTTACAGCATGTAGAGGAACCTTTCACTAATGATAATTAGTTCCCTACTCTGCTCTTAGATGCCACTGCAGTAACATGACTGCAGAGACCTCTGGCCAATAAGAGTGAGAACAACTTGAGATGACCTAATCCAACTAACTTAAGTATGCTGGATAACAAAGCTCACCCAACAAACATACCAACACACTAATTACTTAATAGTCAAAGTGTGGCATTAGTAACCGTAACATTTTAAGTTGTTCTTGTTAGCAACCAACAACATGGAGAATGATTGAACACTCAGGTTTCTTATCAACTGGCTATTAATATTTTTAATATCACAACATTCATTTGCTTCAACACTCAAATTGTAAGAGAGGAAGATACATAGGATTCCAAACATGCTAAAGCTGCAAGAGCGATTGAAATAACCTTCTCTCTCTATAATGCTGTACTAAAACAGGAATTCACTCCATCAATGCAAATTTCTATATCATGACACAAATAGAGTCACTTGTTATATACAACATATATTAAGTAATGGCACCCATGTTTGTTTAATATTGTGTACATAGAAGCTGGATGCAATGCAGAACAATATATTGCGGGTTCATGTCACGTAATATGTGAGGCATGTGCAGATGTATCCGCATAAAATGAAAATGGGATGAACATGGGAAGCCCAGTGAGTTCCTGTCACTGGAGCAGGAGACATGACTGGATACCTCAAGAACAAGGATGGGTCTTCATATAAAGTGAATGTTATTTTTGTATGGCTTTAAACAAGATGTAATTATACTGACAGACAATATTAAGATCCCCAATATAAACCATCCCAAAAATCTATCTAGTGGGAGCTTAGGTTCCATGAAGGCAGACAGACATGACGAGGCTAGTAGGCGCTTTTCACATTTCTTGAGAACAAGCCCAATAAAAGAGCTAAAATTATACTTGCATAATGCACCATGTTTTTATACACAGCATTTATGTACTCATAATCACCACATGTATCACATTCTGTACAAATAAAATTTCATTCCATTTGCAACATATAACTGTGAAATCAATTTTAAACCTATATCTTTCTTTTACATGACTGTAAACATACAATCATAATTAAATACATTTGAATTTATATGACTGAAAGCTTCCACAGCAACTTGTATACAATGAAGTCATGTCATGTAATCATCTGTGTGAAGACGGAGTTAGTATCCAATGCTTCGGAGCCTCTCACTCCCCAACCTCCCTTGCCCTCATCGGGGGGTTGCTGTTAACATCAACTCCCTATGATGTAGGGACAGTCTCTGAAACACTGGATAGCAACACAAACTTTCACACAGCCTGACAAGACTTCAACTGCACATTTCAGGTTCATTAAGATACTAAATACCATGCTAACAATATGCACATTGGATTCAATCAAAATGTATGTGTTCATGAATTTATCACTTGATATGAAAACAAATTCTGGGAAATGCCCATACATTCATCTTCTCACATTTCACCTTCCGAAAAGGTTTCAGAGAGAAGCCTCCAGAACCGTACAGACTAATGGCTCAGTATCGTATTGGGACCCATGTCCCACTGTTTTCATCCCTGCGGTAGTAATGTGGTCGGTTATCTCGGAACACTGTCACAGCTGGGAAAGGATGGTCCTGGATATACTTCAGCGTTGCTCGTACCTATTGTTCAGAAAGTGAAGTTATTATTAACAGCAGCGCCCATGTCTTACTTTGTGATGTCTCATCTCTTCAGACAAAAACCAGTGATACCTTCTCTCATTCTCACTTCAGAAGACTTTCACCACTTGCATGAGTTCAAACATAGGAAAAAAAAAGTCAAACTATGACTAATACTGTCTTCTACACTATGACACAGTGTAGTCTCGTAGTTAAATTAATTTAAAATTATTAAATTCGCTTAGTGGGGGGTGGAGTCCAACTGGGTCCACTCAGCACCGCGGCCACTGATTGGCCTATTGTATCACACCCCTGGTGATTATAATTACCGTATTTACGCATGTATAGGCCGCAGCACAATTTTCAGACAGAAACTATAGAAAAAATAATTTTCTTGGAATATTATTTCAGGAGTATTACACCCTGTATTACTAATTATGAATATAATTTTTTTTAAATGAAGTGTGATTTCGAATATTTCGAATATAAGCTGCACCCCAGTTTTCCTCTTGAATTTTTGGCAAAAAATGTGCGGCCTATACATGCGTAAATACGGTATGGAGAATTTGGTGGAATGGAGATTGGCAGAGGAAACCGAAATACTCGGAGAAAACCTGCCCCAGCCCCACTTTGTCCACCACAAATCCCACCTGACCAGACCCGGGATTAAACCCAGACTGCTGCAGTGGGAAGCCAGCGACTAGCCGCTTGAGCTATGGCCCGGCCCTAGTCTGGTAGTTACCGATGCCCCAAAGGAACATACTACCTCAATCTTCAGGGTAGAACAGTAAGCTCAACAAGCATCTAACAAGAAAAGTCCTTGCTTGTTCAGCTAATTATTTCATCCTGAATATGGAAGCAGTACATTCCTCAAAATGTTACTAAACTGATTTCAGGCTACATAGTGTCACAGCCTAGAAGATAATACTCTTCAATTAAAAATAGATTTCCATTCTTTCTGTAACAAGGTATCACATGAAAAAATGCACTAAATGAATTGATGCTCATACTACAAAACACATCATTTCCAAAAGTGCCGTGGATGGGTTCAAAGTCCTTGCTTGAAACTGCTATGACTGAAATACATGTTACATTACATTATTACCCTGCCTCACACAGCTCAGTTACATCTTCTAGCAGAGGTGAGATTAGTGTCAATACCTGCATGACAAAATGAGGTGGCTCTACTTCTGGAGATGTGGACAGGTGCTGTAGAATGAACTCGTCGGTCTGCTCAAGCCAGAGGTCAACACCCCGCAACGGGTCATAGTTAAATGGACCAATTCGTAACAATCCCAGCTGACAATCATACACATCCAGCACCTAAGAGAAAATCAAACTGATTAATTCTTTATTAGAAGTACATAGAAACATACACAATTTCTTTGTACAATGAAATGTGGTTTGGGAGTTTGGATAGCGCAGTTTCTAGATTTTGTTAACCCTCTCGTATTCTGTACAGAACACAACATTCTGGAAATTCAATCTGTTTCCAGCTTTATGTGAAAAAGTGGGCAGGCACGTATTTCACACAATCAGTTACTGAAATTTCTAACAGACCCAAGTGAGAAGATGCCTGACCATAACTTCATGTGAGGATGGCAATATACCCAGTTTCAGAAAAGTAGTATTCTAACCAGAGAAAACCTGCCCCAGGCCCACTCTGTCCACCACAAATCCCACTTGACCAGACCCGGGATCGAATCCAGGCCACTGCGGTGGGAAGCCAGCGACTAACCGCTTGAGCTATGGCATGGCCCATGCAGTACCTTTACTGACCAAACAAGTGTCATATGAAGTAATTTGGCATGTACTCATAGTTTTGTGTTTAGCAGTACAGAGAGAGCTCTTCCACTATGGGCACCACTATCACTGGCAGACACCACTGTCATGCATCTCAGATCTGATGTCCTGCCCAACAACTTACTTACTTATTACATAATATTTTTTTAACAAGTACATGCCAACATCAGAGTATGAAGAGTATGAGATGATGAAGTGGAAAAAGTGTATGACACAACTGAAGAAATTCTTCAGGAAGATGGAAGAGGAGACACAAACAGCATCATATTGGGAGACTGGAATAGCATTGTCGGATATGAACCATATCAGAATATCGTTGGATCCCATGGACTAGGAAGACGGAATCACAGGGGTCAAATGCTTATTGACTTTTGTGAAAGAAATGGACTGATTGTCACCAACACTTGGTTCAAGAAGCCAAAGAGAAGAATTTACACATGGAAGGCACCTGGAGATTGGAGGAGGCATCAGCTGGACTACATCCTTGTGAAATATCGATTCAGAAACAGTGTGAAGGATGTGAAGACGCTTCCTGGGGCAGATATTGCCTCTGACCACAACTTACTGGTTGCAAAGTTCCGAACCAGGTTGAAGAAAATTATAAGATTTCGAAAGCACAGACCCAGATGGGATTTGGAGAAGTTATATGCTCAAAGACAAAGCGTGCAGGAGAACCTAGAAGAGAAACTCGGTGCAATTGAAGATGAAAGCGGAAATGCTGAAGTGCAGTGGAACAACATAAAAGAATGCATGTTATATACTATTAGCGAATTGGTTGGTAAAGTTGAGAAGATAGCAAGAAAACCATGGGTTACACAGGAGATGATGAGTAAAATGGAGGAGCGAAGGAAATGGAAGAATGTCAACAATGAAGAAGGCAGGAGGAAATACAGGAGACTGAGGAATGAATTGAAAAGAGCCACGGACAGGGCCAAAAAGGAATATCTTGAGAAGATATGTAATGAGATTATGGAAATAGAATTTCAAAGAACAGGACGTTATGAAGACATGAAGACAAAAGAACTAGGATGGAAAGAGAATCATGGGATTCAAAATGTTGGCATCGAAGACTCCCAGGGAAATAGAATAGTAGATCAGAGGCAAGTGCTGAAAATTTGGGAAAAGTATATTTCAGAACTATATGATCGACCTAATCGGCCAGAAACCTTAGAAGTTGAACCGGAAGAAGAAGTAGATACAGACGAGAAAGGACCATATATTTTACAAAGTGAGGTGGAAAAAGCTATCAAGGAAATGAGGAAGGGAAAGGCTACAGGAGATGATGATGTACCTGGAGATGTGCTCAAGTTACTGGGAGAAGGTGGTTTGAAAACACTGACAAAACTAATGAACACCATATATGAAAGTGGAGAGTGGCCCAAGGACTTTACAGAAGTTACAATGATTGCCTTAAAGAAAAAGACAAAAGCTACAAAATGCAGCGACCATCGCACAATAAGTCTTATTGCACATACAGCAAAGATAATAGCAAAGATACTTAAAAGAAGAATTGAAAGGAAAATAGAGGATGTACTTGGAGAAGATCAGTTTGGATTTAGAAGAGGAAAAGGAACCAGGGATGCAATTGGGATGATGAGAATTATAGCGGAACGAACTTTGGAGATAGATGAAGAACTGTGTGTTTGCTTCATAGACTGGCAGAAGGCATTTGACCGGGTAAACTGGACCAAATTAATGCAGATCCTGAAAGAAACAGGTATCGATTGGCATGAAAGAAGATTGATTAGCAAATTGTACATGGATCAGAAAGTTAGAGTACGACTGGACAGGGGGGAGACAGGAAGTGTGCAGATTGGAAGAGGAGTTCGACAAGGATGCTGTTTATCACCAATTCTGTTCAACTTGTACAGCGAATGCCTTACCAAGGAAGCTCTGGATGGGCTCGGTGACTTCAAAGTAGGAGGGCAAATTATTCAAACTGTGAAATATGCAGATGACCTTGTGTTAATGGCTAAGGAAGAAACTGTGCTACAGGGCATGATTGATAGACTAATTGAAATTGGAAGGTGCTATGGCATGGAAATGAATGTGGAGAAAACAAAAGTAATGAAAATTTCGAGACAACCAACCCCAGTCACAATAAAGATAGACCAAAAACAACTGGAGAATGTGAAATGTTTTAAATATTTGGGTAGCTTGTTAACAGATGATGGAAGGTGTACTAGTGAAATTAAATCCAGGATTGCCATGGCAAAAGCTGCATTTAGCAAGAAGAAGAATCTTTTTACCAGCAAATTGGACTTAAATTTGAGGAAGAAACTAGTGAAATGCTACATTTGGAGCATAGCTCTGTATGGGGCTGAAACATGGACACTTAGGGCAGTAGATCAGAAACATCTGGAAAGTTTCGAAATGTGGTGTTGGAGAAGAATGGAGAAGATCAGTTGGACCGATTATGTGAGAAATGAAGAAGTGTTAATTAGAGTCAGTGAGCAGAGGAATATCCTACATGAAATAAGAAAACGGAAGGCTAATTGGATTGGTCATGTTTTACGCAGAAACTGCCTTCTAAAAGAAGTTATCGAAGGAAAGATAGAGGGGCGGATAGAAGTGACAAGAAGACGTAAGAAGATGCTGGATGACCTTGGGGACAGAAGAGGATACTGTCATTTGAAGGAGACTGCTCTAGATCGCATTAAGTGGAGGAACTGTTTTGGAAGAGACTGTGGACCTGTCGTCTTGACAGATTACTGATGATGATGAGCTTGTCTGAAAATGTTATGTTCGTGTCTGTCCATTTGTCTATGTATCCATGCTTCCCCCCAATTTCTGTTAGGAGGCTTATGAGATCACCGTGTTGTCTGTGCCCCCAACCTACTAAGTATTTCATTTTCTAAGCAGTCTGTGTTGCATCAAACAAACGTATGCAATTAGTTCTTCCAAGAATTTATTTTAATTTGTTTATTTCATTGTTCTTGGTTTACTTAATGACACTTTTAGCAATTAAGTGTATACAGCACAATGACTAGTGACTAATGAGGTACAAAGTACGCAGAAGGATGCTGCTGTGACCAAATATGAGGCACTCTTCTTGCATTTGCAGTTAATGAGAAACTCATGACAGCTCCTGCAGTGAAATTTCAACCCAAGACCTCCTGAATAGAAGCACAAACTTATGTAGTACCTTCCATCATACACCTGATGTTCAAATGTAGGACCGTACCTCAGACGTTAAGTCAAATATCATAAATTACTCCCAAGAATTTACCGATATAAGTGACAGACTCTATGTACTCCTCTGAAATCCCATGTATACTGTCCAAGCAGGTAGATTCAAGGGAAATAAAGACTCCCTTCTTCAAGATAAACAAGTATAATGAGAAGAAACATCACCTGTTGTCCACCTGTAAGGTGTCGTGCACTCCGCAGCGCCTGATCAGGGCCCTTATCTGGGAACGTCGCTGGAAACAGCTCTCCAGTCTTAACATTCACACCTGAAAACAAGCAACGGCAGTGTGCAGTAAGACTGATGATGAGAATACTGAGACCTATGCAGGAAGTGTGACACAGATGGAGAGAGGCATGGCAATGATATGCATTACAACTAGGGTGATCAAATCAAGATGACGAGATTGGCAGGCCATGTTTATCTGAACGCAGAAAGCATCTTGGAAAAACATAAACAAGGTGGAACCCTAATTTAATATTCTTAAATTTATATTGCAGTTGGATGGGTAGCATTCCTTCTTCACGTTCATGAGATCAGGCATGCAAATCTTGAAACAGAGGCTGGCTATCCTCCATAAGTTCTATTTGTGGTTTTACTCAGTCCTTTCCAATTACTCATCCTACCATCTGACACCATACAGCCTGAGGTAAAAATGGTAAAGCTATCCCTGTAACAGGTCGTGTAGACCCATAGGGTTGTGAGACGTCAAGGCTCCCATATCTTCTAGACAATCAGCTCAAAGATGGTGGTGAGGTTGCCAGTATTACACACTGACTGCCCTTTACCCCCAGGAAGATTCCTAGTACTCATTTCTGCTACAGGCTGAATCGACCCCAGGGCAATAGCGCGGCTGGAAGGATCAGGTCATTTGAAAAATCCAATGACCTCAACGGGAATCGAATCTGTAACCTTCCAGCTTGTAGCATAGTGCCTCAACCACTTATGCTACCACGTGCTCCCAGTATGAGGAACTAATGCATCATTAAATAAATCACAAACAAAGTTTCATCAGATTTTCACAGTGGTGACTTGAAGAGTTCCATCTTCAGTACTTGCTTCATGCTGGGGTCTTGCTTGGCTTATTCTTCAACTCTGCAGACAGAGGTGATACCTTCCTCTGAAACGTCACTTGACTTTCCCTGGATTACAGAATATTGAGCACTGTCTCAATTATAGGTTCCCCTCACTTAACCTTCAATTACAGTGATCCCAAGACAACAAAATCAATGTTAAATTACCTCAATTATGATTATTTTTTAATATAATAAATTAACAGATCTATTGGTGTATTCAATTCAATCACTTATATATAACAGAAACAACATGCTGTGTGATGGTACAAAACCCATCAATTTAGACGTTCCTCATTTTAATGTTCAAAAGAAATCGTAAAAAAATGGGTGTTTCACAATAGAATACACTCTAATCTTAGAAAATTTTAAACAATTTTCACTCAAATATTTTTCAATGTGGAAAATATATGACAAGACATTTTTTTAATATTAATTGAGGCCTTCAAGTTAAATAGTGGCCATGCTGAACTAAAATAGTTCAAAAGAATTGTTCATATTTTATTAACAGTTCAAATGTAAAATTTTTTAAACATTTGTTTTTATACACCACAGCTTACAGGTGAACAAAAATATGTAAAGACATTTCTTGCTTTCCTGTGAAACACATATAACAATCAATAGCATGGAAGCTTTACATGACTAACCAAACCATATTTCAGCAGAAAACTGTTAAAAACATAGTTCATCAAAAACATCTAACCTCAATAGTTTGAAAATTTATGCAAAGATGGCTACATTTATATTATGGCACTTGATAACAACACACTGCACCTATCAATACAAAATGCTACAGCATAGGTATAAAACAATCTTTATCAAAAACACCTAACCTCTCTTTTTCTTTAACTTGTAAGGAAATATAACAACAATACAGTCACTCATTATTCTGAATGGTTTTATATGCAACAAATGGTTGGAACATAGAAAATAATTCCCATCTCCAGCTCAGTTTCCACAGATAACACCCTCCACTGATCCACTCCAGTGTACACAGTTTCAATTTGGTACATACACTACCATCAGTGGAAAATCGTTACCAGCAAAGACAAATATTGCACTGCCAACTGAAGCACAGGCACTTTCTTCAGAGCAGCCTGGAGGCATATACATATATACACGTAGATTATAAAAGGGATTTTTATTTTCCTGAATTTTCTTTGGTCCTTTACTCTGCTATTATCACAAACATTAAACGTTAACCCTTTCTCTTATTCACATTACAAACATACTTGATTAGTTCGAAAATTGTAGATGGTTTCTACTATCTACTAAGAGAGACTCTGAAGGAAAGTAATTTAATTACCCTTAGAGTGTGGATTATAAGCAACAGAAACGAAGCACAGTGTGACGTTCAACTCACCAACTCCATAAAGTATTGGCCAGTGGATACCTCCTCGAATTGTAGTGTTCAGTTCTCCCACACAGGCAAGTGTCAAATCAATCTCCACTAACTGCTTGTGGAAAGAATCTGAAACAACGATACCATGTGATTGATGGGATGAGCGGCCATTACAAGAAAAGGCATTTTGTGAAGAAGATGCTTCAACAAACATGGTCCAAGTGTTCTTTACCTAGTCGATTTTTCATAACACTCAGGATTACTGGGTTTTTGAGCTACCTCCATCGTCCAGTACACACAATGTTCAGAAACTGACTCATCCAACAGAGCAGGTGTTTCTCCCCCTCACCTGAGGATTGAAACAAATCCAGTTTCTGAAACTTTTGTGTTTTTTAGAATGCAGGACATGGACAAAATCCAAAAGCCCATAATTCCCGGTGTTATACGCCACTGTCAGAACCCTTTACAATCTACTGCTCTTAACACATTTCTTACTGTATGCATTTTTTCTGTATGGGGATTATTCCACTAGCTTTAGCCATATAAATTACTACTTCTTAATTTAGAACAGATCTGAAATAAAAGAATAGGTAACTCCAATTACACATGCTTGTATTACCTGCATTTCTGAATAGCTGCAGTTTTATCTTTATGTCGAGAAAAGGATTGTTGTCCTATCTGTAATCATAGCAGAAAGCGCCCCACATTCTCAGTGAGTTCTGTACCCAGTTCCCTAACTTACCCTAAAATTTTCACTCAGTTATGTCATTTCCTAATCCACTGTCACTCTGCTCAGAGTCTGGTCTGTTTCCCACTTGTAGCATTATTGATATCCATTCTGAAATTCATTAATGCAACCCCACGTATAGTCACATGAACGCCATTTTGTACATATCCACAGACATGTACGTAGTACTTGAAAATATATCAGGAACTGCTGAATCATTTATTTTCTCAGAGTTTCGTAGCCAACTAAATACAATACAGGACTAAAAATCCTTTGATTCAGGAGTCTGGATTCATCAGCCTCCAGCACAACTCTACAACTACAATAACACAGAAGGCCAGTAGACAAAGGTCACAGAATTACCACACGGTCATCTGCTCTATCAATAATTTATATAAATTAAGCATGCTTACTGCAAAATGAATCTCAGAACCAGGTATTATTAAAATGCTAAATCCTCCAGCAGCCTACCAAGAATTCAAAGCAAGTCTTTTATGTCACTAATTAATCACTAGTTAAAGGGGGCAGGCTCCTTCTTGATAATATAACAGTTGCTCAGATAGTCCAGAAATTACCAGTAGCATCTGAAGCAGCTGCTGAAGTTGGTAAAATCTTCTTGGTCTATCACTAACCAAATGACAAGGCTGACAGTCCAAGAAGATTTTATCAAATTACCAACTGTCTCTGGAACCCTAACATTCATTACAGTGTTAACAAGGCCCTGCCATAGATCCATATTCTGAGTCAGATGAATCCAGTCTACATTCTCTGATCCCCTCTACTGTTATTCTGGGGGCACGCAGTAGTGCAGTTGGTTGAGAGGCTATGCTACAAGCCAGAAGGTCACAGGTTCAAGTCCCAATTAGGTCACTGGATTTTTTTCTCATCTGCACCTAGGTTTTACAAGTAGCCTCTTTCCTTCAGCTCACTTCCATTTCCCTTCACACCCATGCATGCTATCATCATCATCATCATCATCATCATCAGTAATCTGTCAAGATGACAGGTCCACAGTCTCTTCCAAAACATTTCCTCCATTTAATGCGATCTAGAGCTTTCTCCTTCAAATGACAGTATCCTCTTCTGTCCCCAAGGTCATCCAGCATCTTCTTACGTCTTCTTGTCACTTCTATCCGCCCCTCTATCTTTCCTTCGATAACTTCTTTTAGAAGGCAGTTTCTGCGTAACACATAACCATGCAGGGCATGCTATATGCCCTGCTCATATCATCCCTGTGTGACTTTATTACCCTAATAATATTTGGTTAAGAGCACAAATTATGAAACTCCTCACTGAGCCATCTTCCCAAAATTCCTATTATTTACCACCTCTTCTGGACTTTAATGCTATGTAGTTCAGTGAGAACCTGATGTTTCAGAGTAACATATTGCCTTCTTCTTCAGGGTTGATGGGTAGGCCATGCAAGAAACCAGTAGCAGCATGCAGCAAGCCTGACCATGAAGATGGAGGTAACAACATCTACCTCTGCTGTGAGAACCTCAAATTTCAAGGGGTTCTCTTCTTTCAAAATATGTGGTTCTGTTAATCAGAAAACAAGTCTTCTTGGGTTATGTCACTAGTTGGCTTTCCTAGCACTACCAGAGATTAACAGAAATTACTGAAGCTGACATGAGGAGGCACAGAGAATTTCCAACATTTTGCAACTCATGTTACGGTCTAATATTAATCTGCATGAAGTATCTGACATGCTGGAAGACAGCTATTCAGGTCAATACTTTCAGTCTACAAACATCATTAATCATACTGGACAACATGTGATGCTCCAGCATCATTCATCGCCTCTCCTCCTGTCTCCAGAGATAGAGGCCAGGCAGTTATCAGAAACTAAACAGTACAGCTTTGTCATACGGGATTTTATTACAAAAATTATTATTATTATTAAACTGAACACAAAGGCTTCAAATCATAAAGATACTTTCAAAACATTTATTCCAACATCCTTCACTACAAATAACCGACTTCATTTAGATTTAATAACCTATTATAGTCTGTTCTCCATCAGGTATAGGGAAAAAACACAATACAAAGTCAAAATATGTTTCTATGTACTTTATAGATTTACACAGAGAATTTCCAGGTTACTTAGTGGAATGATGGATGAAAAATATTGTAAAAGGTTAATTAATACCATCCGGTGTGACTGATGAAGTTTTTTTTCTTCTTTTTAATATTTTATCCTCAACATGTTTCGGTCTTTCAGGCCATCTTCAGAAGGATATCAATACAATTAGAAACCACTATTACAATATGTCTTGTGAGTATTAGTATATACATACAGTGTTATCATAATATTACAATCAGTACAAAATCTAATGTTTTTAACAACTACAGCAGCTTGTATAATATGTTAAAATATTTAGGAATTACAATTAGTATGTTTACAGTTGAACGCTGAACATTAAATTCAAAAGTGTAGCGTGTCCTTCATTTCTCTCTTTGACTTTTTCTCAAAACAATCCTCTCTTCAATGGACATTTAACAAGATTTGTGACAAAATTCAGGTACACATTCATGTGAGGTCATTCTTAAACATGTCTAACCTATTAAAGTTGAAATGCTTAGCGTTCTTGCATAAAATTCATGAAAATCTATCCAGCAGTTAAGTTGTTTCATGCATGGGCGATGTATGGATGGGTAAAAAGTAAAGCTATCCCTGTACCAGGCCACGAAGGCCCATAGGGTTCTGAGACATTAAGGGTCCCACATTATCTAGACAATTGGCTCAAAGATGGTGGTAAGGTTGTCAGCCTTATGCACCGATCGCGCTTTACTCCCCAGGAAAATTATTTGATTAGGATGGACTAAACGAACTTAAAATCCCCAAATTACTTATTTAGTTCATTCATGATTAAAAATGATGGTTCTGCCCAGTGCAAACACAACAGTATATAACAGATTTCTGACAATCCATCTGCACAGCACTTCAGGTAGTACATTATGCCAGAAAGTATAACTTGGTAACAGTGTTCTATGATACACATACTCCAAAACATAAGGTTTCTATTGTATGTAACTTAGAGTGGCCTTTTCTCCTTAACACATCACCACATCATCATGATGTAGTCAGCTGGTGATAAAATATGACCCTGTACTGACCTCCTGTCAAGTGTACATGCATATAAATAAATAAATCTCATTTTTCAGCCATTTCTGAATTTACAAAGGACTAAAAGGGATTTAAGCTGATCACAGTGGCCACACGGTTTTAGGAATGAATTTCTTTGCCCGCTTGAACACTGGGATTGTGGGTTTGAATCCCACTCAACACATGGCTGTCTCTTTGTGTTTATTCTGTGTTTGTGTCAGGCAACAGCCTTGCGACAGGCTGACCTCCTTGGCAAAGGAGTCCTACTGACTGTCTTAGGATTAATGAACTGAAGTGAAACGAAACATTTCACGGATGCCCTATGCTTCAAGTGGGAGCAAAAGGAGGAGGAGGAGGAGGAGGAGGAGAGGTTCTTATTTCTAAAGGAAGGGCAGGATCGATGATCCAGAAAGCTCCGATACATTTCTTGAAACTTCGAAAACCTGTTATAGTACCAGTACCTACAATTAATTCCAAAATATATCTTATCAAATGAAAACATTTTTAATCACAACAGCTAATGTAAAATCTTATGGTTGAAATGAATGCCATCTTACTGCGTTATCAGCTGTGTCAGTCAGTTAAAAATTATAAACATTTCTGGGACCATCTCTGTACCATCATCAGGATCTGATGCGACAATGGATCCAAAATGCCCCAAACTATAGACAAACCACAGCCCATGACCAAAAATGAGTGCAAGTCAACTGAGGGTGGAGTCATAAGTTTGATTGGTTTGGTCTTGTCTCCGTGGCTTTTTGGTCCACAAGCAAGCTATACCGACCGAGCGATTGCCACTTGTCGACGAAGTTAGTGCCAACATTTGCGGACAGAGGGTGTCACGTGGCCAACACAATGGATTCCTATGGCCATTAATCTCGGTTTTCTAGACCGGAGCCGCTACTTCTCCATTCTAGTGAGTCTTCAATTATCCTCATGAGGCTGAGTGGGCCCCATTCCAGACCTACTACTTCTCAGAAAATCTGGTAGCGCCGGGAATCGAACCCGGGACCTCTGGATCCGTGGTCAGGAACTCTAACCACTAGACCACAGAGGCGGTTGCATCTCCGTACTGCTTGATCAAATTAGTCACCAGGGACCATGACAGACTGAGACTAAGCCCTTATTTGTTAAAATGATAACGTGCTGCTTTGCAAACACTTTATCATTAGCACCAATGTTATCATCACATGACAGGGATACGATGGACGGTTCCACCATGGCAGCGACTCTCACTGCATCAGTTCCTGCTACTCGCACCCAACTACACAAGTTTCAATTCTTAACATCGAATGGATTAATGCCATTGCTAGGAAAAACTGGTATTACCTACAATATAATAAATGCTGTTACGTGGAATGTTAGGTGACGCAAAATGATGGGAGATCACATGAAAAGTCTAGATAAGCTGTGTTCAGTGTTCGCTGAACAGTAGCTCATTAGAACAATGTGTGTCATTAACGTTATCCAGATGTGAAAATGGAACAGAGTGTGAATGTGAAATTTTGTGTTGAACTGCAGAAATTGTCAAGTGTAAGGTTTGAGATGTTGGAAACAGTTTCTGGTGTATCTACTATGGGCAAGAGTAATGTTTTAAGTGGCACAAACGTTTCAGAGAAGATGTGAAGGATGATGAAAAGCAAGGTGCTACTGTAACAAAGCGAACAAACAAAAATGTTGTGAAAATCAGAGAACTTGTAGGATTTGTCCACTGGTTAACTTGCTGTATGATAGCTTATGATTTTGATATGAGTAAACAAACTGTCAGGAAAATTATAGTACAGGATCTTGGCATGAGAAAGTCAGCTCATGCCATGAAACTTGACAGAGAAACAAAAGGAAAGACGTGTCACTCTGTGAGTGGACTTTGCGGAAAGACTTCAAAAAGATAATTTGTTGGATTGTGCCATCATTGGTGATGAAACGTGGCACTGTTATCAGTATGATCCCGAGGCCAAACGCCTGTCTATGAGTGGAGATTGAACAATTCTCCCAGGGCAAAGAAGCCACACGTGTCAAAGTCCAAGGTCAAAACAACACTGATATGCTTTTTCAACGTCAGGGGTACTATCCACTTCAAATCTGTATCAAAGGGGCCATGTTAATCAGGCATTCTACATGGACGTGTTGAAAAGGCTTATTGATGCCATGAGGTGCAAGCGAGGAGAGCTGCAGAGAAAGCGTTCATCGATTCTTCACAAGACACCGGCACACTTCGCTTTGAAGTGTCAGTTTTTATCAGGAAAAGGCATCTCTGCCACTGATAATCCGCCATCTCTCCTGGCTTGGCTCCAGCTGATTTCTGGCTGTTCCCAAAACTCAAAAGTGTGCTGAAAGCAAAGTTTTTCTTGGACAATTAGGATATTAAATCATCTGTGAAAAAAAAAATGTCAACAGACATACTTGTTCAGGATTTTAAAAACTGTTTTGAACAAAGGCCGAATCACTGGGAACATTATAAAGAATTTGAGGGAGGTTCAAAATTTTTGGTTGCTAATATCTTCAGCTCTTAAAATAAATTAAAAAAAAAAAATCTCAAAACTTATGTGCTTGACCTTATACTTCGTATCCTAGGTTCTCACAGTAGTGGATATGAAGAATACAGCCTTCTGGGTTGTAATGCCACACAGTTCAGAGACGGCCTTATGTATGGGAGGAATGTAACACCTCCATCTTTAGGGCGGAAGCATGAACCAAGCAATCAACCAGCACAGAAGCAATTGCCACCCGACTGGCTTATTCTTCAACAGTGATGGCTAGTGATACCACAAGTTAGTTGAGAGCTAACTGTGAAACAGCCACCAGCCAGTAACAATGTGTGAACGGAAGGTGAGGACACTGTTAGGATCCGTCGAGTGTTTGAATTAGTGACAGCGTTATAACTGTAGTTACAATCTACAAGTGTTCAATATACACAATTACCAATCCAACCACATGTGTGGTCACTTATAATGACAATGTGTCAACACAATCAGTGAAACTTTGCAACTCTTAGGCTGGGGCCACACGAGCGCACAAAATGCGTCCGTTCTAATGAACATCATGACGTCCATTGTAGAAATAAACAAGAGAGGTAAATGCTAAGCTTTCTTCTGGCTCCACTGCAGACAAAAAACTATGCACCGTATTCTGCAACTGTGTGGTGTCCTCAGCAACGTCCGTCATAAATTACAGAGATATTGGGTTTTCGGACTTTATCCATCGTCCTGGTTTTTAAGATAACTAATAAAAACACGACGTTTCGGAAACTGGATCTGTTTCCATCCTCAGGTGAGGGAAAAACACCTATTCTGTTGGGTCCCTTAGAAAGAGCTAGCCTCAATCACTGGACAACAACAATAAAAACTCACGAGAATTCCCTAAAGAGCATGAATAGATACCAGAATAATAAACCCCATGTTGTCTATAAGAGAAAACAAAATACTAGCATACTCAGCAAGAAAAATTAAAGTAAAACCGCCCGCACCATACTCAACATTAAAACCAGACATCAACTCCAACTCTCCCTCAGCAAAATCAAAAGGAGTACGATTGGTCTCAGCCAAACAAGAAAGTGCAATTTCTATGGCAAAGATTAAGAAGATCACGGCAATGAGCCTGTCTCAGGTGTTTATAACCTTTGTTTTTTGTGACATTGGTTGTCCAGTGACTGAGGCTAGCTCTTTCTAAGGGACCCAACAGAATTGGTGTTTTTCCCTCATCTGAGGATGGAAACAGATCCAGTTTCCGAAACATCGTGTTTTTATTGGTTATCTTAAAAACCAGGACGATGGATAAAGTCCGAAAACCCAATATCTCTGTGTGCTATACACCATCATCAGAATCCTATAGTAACTACATGATAAAGTATGTTCGTTGCAACGGACACAATTTGTGCACTTGTGTGGCCCCAACCTAAACATATTATATGTATAGTGTTGCAGCCGTTACATCAAACAGAACAGTGACTTACGCATTATATTGTAAAACAGCTCTTCCGAATAGTTACGGCTATCAGAGTAGCCACCAATGAGCTGCAACTCCAGACGCCCTTCAGGATAACCTAAGGCTAATTCCTGGACTCTATGAACCATGTTCATGACACCCTCATCCGTCCCAGCACCATCCAAATGTGCCAGTGCCACAGCTCCTGATCCTGTAATGAGAGCCATGTCTGAATATCATTATATTGCATTTGGAACAATCAAGTATTATGTGAATAAACATGCTGCCAGAATACGATGTGTGGAAAGTTGCATGCTTTGGCAAGTATTCCAGTTGCCATCCTCCAGGTCAATCTCTCTGGGTCTAGTTTCATCACTCACGTTCATTATTCCCTTAAAAATCAAAGCTATCCCTGTAACAGGCCGCTGAGACCCACAGGCGTGTGAGACATCGAGGGTCCCACATTTTCTAGACAATCGGCTCATTGATGGCAGTGAGGTTGTCATGTCTTCTCCTTCCCTAACTTCTTGCTCAGTAACTCACGCCTCAGCACCTTTTGCTTAAGCAAGTGACTCCTAACAACTATTCCATCACCTAGAAAAAAGAGGGGAACAGTGGGAGACAAAAGGAAAAAGAAACTTCCATCAGCACTTGTCCTAAACACAGGATATATAAAATTCTTTTCATCACCTCTGTTCTGGCTGCCTGGTCTCAAAACAGTTTTCAGTGACTTCTTTTCCTTGGCTGCATTATGTCGCTCACAATCCAATACCAACCAAGTCCACTTGTCTGTCCAATCAGGACTTGACCTCCACAGTGGAGAGAAGAACTTGTATACAGTAAATGGTTGAATATAAACAAAAACATAGCATACAGGAAAATGATTACCTACTCAAATGTTACTAAGATAAAAACTATAGGTTAGCCAAAGGTTAGGTAAAGTAAAGTAAAGTAAAGCTATCCCTGTAACAGGCCGTGAAGGCCCATAGGGTTGTGACACGTTGAGGGTCCCACATTATCTAGACAATCGGCTCAAAGATGGCGGTAAGGTTGTCAGCTTTATGCGCCGGCAGTGCTTTACTCCCCAGGAAAAATATTTTATTAACTCCTGGTACTCAATTCTGTTAGAGGCTGAGTAAACCCCAGGGCCTAGTGTGGCTGGAAGGATTATGTCAACTGCAAAAATCCAATGACTTGAACCCGCGGCCTTCCAGCTTGTAGCATAGCTCCTCAACCACTACGCTACCGTGTGCCCCCGCCAAAGGTTTGGTGGAAACATGGAAACTAAAATTTAAAATGAGAAAATGGATTGAGAGCAGAAAAAGTAATGCCACAGTAGTGATGGTATCAGAAGTGTAGTAACTGAACTCACTTAAACAATGTAAGCAGTTGGTATGCACTGAACCCGTGTAACATGTGGACATAGTGCTCTTTTCAACTGAACCCAATCTAATCCTAAACCTAAAACTCAAACTCAAACTAAACTAAACTAGTTCCTCCAGGAAAATTCTGGGATAGTACCTTAAATCAGGCCACAACTTCTTTCGTCCGCATTCTTTACCATTCATCATTTGCTATCCAGCCAACCACTCCATGCTATATAGTCTGAATTACTGACAGCATCACAACTGAATATAATATTTCAGCAAACAAAGCCTCCTGAGGATCACAGCACAGACTGATGAATAATACTGAGATGGGTCTATCAAACTAATGCAGAAGAATATCTGGCGGTTCCCAGTTGAAGTAAGGAGAATGAAACAACTTCAGGTTCTTATGTAACCCTTGTTCTTCCAGGATCGCAGACATTACAAACTTCAAGCCTCCTGAAAATACTGTGTGACACCATTTTTGAGTTTATGACCTTGACAGATGTAATTGTTTCACATGTGTTGTGCTCAAGTTCATCCAATGCATGGAGATTATCTGAGTACACTCTGTTTTTCAGTTTCTCAACAGACAAAAGTCTGGATATCTTATCAACGGAATACTTAGCACTGCATGTGCTGCAGCAACATCTCACAAATGAAATAACTGTATCTTTTCTTCTTTCATAACGTTCAAAACAAAAGGCCAAAGGATGTCACACATACTTCTCTGAATATGGGCCCCAGTAATAGCAGACATACCCCTTTTCTGATCATGAAGGAGTTCATCTCAGATTAATATTGCTCGACTACCTATGGCTTTGAGCACTGATGCATCCACTCAGATGGAAACAAGCTTCATCAGTAACAAATGTTAAGTCTTGGGTAGAGGAGGCCATCGTGTACTGCCCACAAAGATCAATTACAAAAATGTGTTCTCTTGTAATCACCATTTTTAAATTGCCTGAACTGTCTGATGTTATACAGCAATGGAAAATTTTTAGCTTTTTTCCATGCCATTATGGTAGAAACCTGTGCTTTCCAGCTTTCCAGGGATTCTGTCATGCTCCACCATGTGAACGCACTTTCTTCACCAATTCTAAAATTGATGAAGATGGAATTCCAATACCAAAACCTTCTTTCATATGACTTATATTATTTATTTCCACATAAGCACCATACAGAGAAACTCACTATTCAAGTATATGCATCACCATTCATATTCAGTAATGTGAATGGGGTCACAAAACATATGTCTGAATATCTTACAAGAGAAAGACTGGTGTGTTTTACAGTGAGACACTTGCAGGCACAGAAGATAGACAATAACTACAGAGCAATACAGTTGACAGGAGATCTGCTAGTCTGTTTACCGATAGAAGCACGTTCTTCTCCAAAGAAATTGATTTTTTTTTCATAGTCGGGCTATCTTAAATTGGCTGTTGGAGAAAGGCATACATTCCATTACACAAGTGACCTGGTATGAAAATAAGGAGATAAATTGTTCATATTTTTAGGTAAAATAAATCGGAAGTCTATAAAAAAGCAGGCGTAGATTTGTGTGAATGCTAAGGGTGTTCAACGTAGCAGCAGCCCAGAAGTAGGGCACTAACAGCACATCAACATTTTGGAAATTATTATCATAGGGTTTCTGTTACAGGTCAGCTTCATTAACTCTGCTGCCACCAAACTACTTAGTGATCTGTGGATTCTGTACTATGTTCTTTATTCAAATAAAGATCAGCGATTTAGACGTACATGGCACATTCTCTGTCTTCTTATAGTCTCGAATCTTAACACTGTTCTATTCTTTTCTGCTTCAGAATTTATATGTCACCTAATATCATCTGTTTCTTTACTTACACTACAAAGCATCAAATGGTTGGGCGAATGATGAAGTAAAAAAGCCTTATCAAGGAAGTGGCAATGGGGTAACTGAGGTACTAACCCAGCAGTTGTCTAGAGGGACTAAAACCATCAAAAAGTCAGTCAGGATATCCAGTGTCCCAGCTGAGATTAGAACCAAACACCACCATTACACTCAGTGACATGACATCTCATTATCTGTTTACATGCACCAAATTTTGACATGCTGCTTAGCAGAAATATGTTCTGAGCCTTAACACATATTCATGTTATATTTAAAACGTTTACCTGAATGACGAAGAACAACAATGATGCATGTTGTCGCGTCATCTGACCCGAGAATATTCACATTTTCTGTAAAAATAAAAGCAGGTTGTATAAATACCATCAGGTTTCAAAATTAGTAAACAAAGAACACTGTAACTGGAGAACATGAAAAATGATAAACCATTCATCACTACAATCTCTGCATGGATCGATGTTGCAATTTAACACAAAACAGACACACAAAATATGCTTCTTGCAAATCTTTGTTTTCAGGAGGTAAAACTTAAAAGATGCAACTACTCCCCCACCGTTTATGTCCCAACGTTCACAATCACATCAACAGTACCGTCTAAGTATATCTAGATATACTGTTATGTTTTATCTCACTTTAATTACTGAATAATTTTAAACAGAAAAACAATATTGAAAGGGTAGTCACCCCACACTGGATAACTGTATCAGATTTCAGGTTCTCACAATGGCAAGTATGCAGAATAACATGAGCTTGGATATGTCACGTAAAGTTGTAAGTTTACTGACATAAAAGTAAAGTTATTCCTCCACCTAATTAATAAAGCATCACAACATGAAGATGTATGGGGGAGCAGAGGTATAGCTCCACCATACTTAACCTCAGCACTAGATGGTGGTGAGTGACCAGCTTCATGCCCCAGATGCATTATCTCCGGGGAAAGAGCCCCCAGGTACCCCACTGGATGGAAGACTGGGTGGGACCCAAAGCAGGTTTGGACACTCTAGAGATAATAAAAATTCTTATCCCTCCGAAGAACTAAACCGATTCCTCAGTCCTCCAACCTGTAACCTAGTCACTACAAGTTAACCTCAACATCGTATATCATTCCGCCTATCTAACGGTAATAAGGTCTCATGGCATGTAGGATCATCACGACTGTAGTGATGATTCTGGGTGCCTGTGTGAAGGTGCAGGAGTATGGGTCCCATCTATGCAGTTACACCTCATCTCACCTGACTCCAACTCTCCACATCAGAAGCACTCACGCATCCACTGAGAGCAATTTAAACTGAAAAATCCTTTTCACTTATTGGATTTAAGGTTCTCATGGCAGAGTCTTCTGGGGTGTAACGCCGTGGAGTTTGGACAGAACCCCCCAATCTTGAGCAACACACCCAAGCAAGAAACCAGCAGGCGGCCAAAATCCCCTCATGGGGCAGGATTTGAGATTACAGGATTCACTGCTGAACACCTTGAAGAGGACATTTCTGGATGAACAAACACAACGTTCCTGTTATGCGTTCATTTAAAGCATTCTGTTTAAAGAATGCATACAAAAGGACAATGTCTATCACCTGATCCAAGCAAGTGTGAAGGTATGAGTAAAGTTGTCCCTGTGCTTAATTAATTAAACACCGTGTCAATAGCATGCCATTAAGATATATGGGGAATGGAGGTACAGCTCCACCATTTTTGATTTTGGTACTAGATACCCCAGAGAATGAGCCCACGAAGCCCACTGTATAGGGTGCTGGGTCGGCATCACAGCTGCTCTCGACACTGTGTTACAGAAAAATCTCTTGTCCCTGCCAGGAATCGAACTCTGGCCACCTAGCCCATAGTCCAGAGCAATGCTGTCTCAATTATCCAAGCAACAGGCCGCGGCAGCCCAGATTCGGTCAAGTGGGATTTGTGGTGGACAAAGTGGCGCTGGAGCAGGATTTTTCCGAGTACTTCGGTTTCCCCTGCCAATCTTCATTCCACCAAATTCTCTATCATCATAATAACCCGGGGCAGGCTACAATAGGCCAATCAGTGGCCGCCATGCCGAGTGATCCAGTTGGACTCCACCCCCAACTAATTAATTATTCAAGAAACTGTGTAAATATAGCAGTCTTCACCCTGTACCCAATTAGTTGAAATTACTGGTATCTGCACTCAATGAGTGTCAGGAAACATCCAGCAAGGGGCAGTGATTAAATCACAGGTTACTGAACCTACACTCTCTACCTTACAGACACTTAAGTTCCAGAAACCTGCAATTCTCATTCCATTCTGTTAGTTCGAAGACTTCACCCACCGTGAGTTGTGGCAGTTCATTCAAAGCCACTCTCCTCGCACTTGCTTAACTCCCTGCACCCAACTCAGCTGATACTTCACTGCTCATGTCCAAACACTCCAGCACCATACATGATCATGTTCTAGATATAATAAACCCCGACAGATAATATCTTGAAAATCTCTGCTTTCCTACTGATCAGTTTTGCACATCTGCACTAACAGCTTCCTCCATCTGTGCATGAATTTATGAAGAACCTTACAGCAAATTCTGATACTTACTGTCATGAGGTACAGTGACTGCCAATTCCCTCTGCTGAACATAGAGGAGGCCAACAGGGCCCACTACCTTTGTAGGGATAGCAAGTAGCTGTGATGCTGAGTCCTTATAGACTGGATGATTGTGGAACAAGGTCCGCGTGTCGGGCGGCGCCTCCTCCTGCAGCACGCCGCTCAGCACTAGAACCATTCTATCTGCAACAGCAACAATAGGTAGCTTCTACAGTTCATAAGGTTTAAGGTTCCATCCATGACAAGAACTTAGCATGTGGCCCACTTCATTATGGTTCCACATAGCCGCAAAGCTGGTTATCAGCATTCTGGAGGAAATCTATATAAATAAAAAATGAGTCCGTACCTCACAGGAAACACATGACGTCCACGCTACAAAGCCCAACCGGTTAATGCTGTTTATCGTGAGAATCATATGGAACACACAGATACACTCTATGGGCAGAATTCAGTGTTCTGGTATGATAAAGTGGGTGGTATATATAGCAACCACTGAGCTATAATGGTTTAAATTAAAATGGATATCAGGTTTATCAACTAAGCTCACAGAAGAAACTGAAAGTGACCTCTGCCTCATTTGCAGTATAGATGCATTCCTGTGAGTTACTCACATCAAATGTTCATTTTGTGTAAACAATCAGTGTCATAACATATTGCAGTCTCAATCAGCAAACACTCATCTACTGAGCCTAGACAGCCTGCTTATGATCAGTGTCACTAGAATGCTCAACGCTCAACATACGTTAAGAGTGGTACACACTGAAGTGGATCTAAGTAATTGAAGATAGCCCAAGAGTTTAATTTTGCTTCAGTTATTAACTATCACTGATTTGGTTTTGAGACTTATGAAGACAACCACTGCGTTTCATTTTTATAGAACTCTGTGTTATCCAGCTCCATTTTGTGTGGATAAGGGAAGATGAAGTGACAGGAGGTTGGAGAAAACTACATAACGAGGAGCTTCATAACTTGTACTCTTCTCCAAGTATAATTAGACTGATCAAGTCAAGGAGGATGAGGTGGGCAGAGCATGTAGCATGAATGGGGGAAACGAGGACTGCGCATAGGATATTGGTGGGTAAGCCCGAAGGAAAGAGACCACTGGGAAGCCCGAGGCATAGGTGGGTGGACACTATTAAAATGGATCTTAGAGAGATAGGATGGGATGGGACTGGTTTGATTTGGCTCAGGATAGGGACCAGTGGAGGGCTCTTATGAAGACGGTAATGAACCTTCGGGTTCTGTAGAATGCTGGGAAATTCAGTAGCTGCTGAATTGGCAGCTCCTCCAGAAGGGCTCAGCTCCATGAATAAGTAAGTGGGGTGGGACTAAGTCCCTTGTACTGCGGACACTTCTGGCCTATTGTACCAGCCCCAGATGATAGGTGAGGGTGATTGTGGAGCAATTGGTGGAATGAACACTGGCAGGGGAAACCGAAGTACTCGGAGAAAACCTGCCCCAGCGCCACTTTGTCCACCACAAATCCCACTTGACCACACCCGGGATCGAACCCGGGCCGCCGCGGTGGGAAGCCAGAGACTAACCGCTTGACCTATGGTGCGGCCCGAAGTAAGTAATGTAAGCAAAGAAGGTGAATCTCCTTGCTCCGGACAAAGTGATATACTGCGCATGCCTGGTTCTGGGCACAGTATGCACGGTTCATGCCATATGTTCAAAGAGCATCCAATTCACATTTCGAAGTAAACTACAGATCTAAGGTATGAGGTTCTTACAGAAGTTGCTGGGGACATGCAGTGGCGTAGATGATTGAGGTACTGTGCCACGAGCTGGAAGGTTGCAGGATTTTTCTATTGACATCCTACCAGTCCTGGTGTCAACTCCGCCTCTAACAGAAAAGAGTACCAGGAATCTTCCTGGGGGTAAAGGTCGACCGGCCGGAGCATCAGGCTGACAACCTTATTGCCATCTGTGAGCTGACTGTATAGAAAATGTGTGCGCCTCAACGTCTCACAACTCTATGGGCCTCCACGGTCCGTTACGGGGATAGCTCTACCGTCTTTACTTCCATTTGAAAGCATTTTCTGGCTACTTTTCCTCATATAGACGTCCTGACAGACTAAGAGTCTGGACAGTGCATACTGCTGCAAAATTATTAAGAGCCAAAAAAGGCTCAGTCTGATCTCTTTAGGAAAATTCAAGATGCTAACAACAATAAGATGGAGGAAGAAATTAATTACTTTTAGTTGCATAGAAATGACTGAACAATTTGTAGAGCCACTTGAATAATAATTTTGACAATTTCCGCAAGCCTGCTTTTGTATCGCTTCTGAACAGCATGCAATCGCACTGTCAAAAGGGGGAAAAAAAAAACAAAACAAAACAAAAAACAACAGCAGCAACAGCAACAGCAGCAGCAGCAAATGCGTTGAAGCAGTGCTTGGGACACACAATACATTATTTTTAATTCCATGTGCTTGATAAATGAACTAACACTGCTCTATTCACCAGCAGATCTTAAATTCAATGACAAACCAGTTCCTGAAATAATTCCATATATGGTGAAAAACAGTTAACACCGTGTAAGGTGGTAACGCTGATAATATTTTGATGTAGATATGTTAAGCGCAGTATACCATACACAGGAAATGGTTTCCAACTGACCATTTGTGTGTATTATTCATGGTAGATGGTGTCAATCGTCAGCCTTCATGAAGAAAGCAGTCTTCTGGGATGTAGCACCATGTAGATGTGGTGTTAACCGAAGTTTCGGAGGAACGTATCGCCTCCATCTTGAGGGTAGAAGGAAAAAGAAGAAAATCCGCAAGCTAAGAGACCGTGAGAACCGGTACAAGCAGACTGGTGTTGGATATATCCTTCCTTCTACGCTGAAGATGGAGGCGATACGTTCCTCCGAAACGTCGGTTAACACCACATCTACACGGTGCCACATCCCAGAAGACTGCTTTCTTCATAGTCACAGCCATGAAAACCTCAAATGTTACATCAGCCTTGATGTTTCATTCGATAACATGCAGGATTGGATTGGAATACAGAGAAAAACAGACGTTAATCATATGTAAGCTTATTTTACAATTGATGAGGGACATCCCTAGAAATATTAATGGCTGTTCCACTAATAATTACATAAAACAACTTCTTGACAATGAACACTACTTGTATCATTTCCTTCGCAGAGTAACCTCTGATACAATTGTACATGTGCAAACATGCCAGGGTTGCAGACCAGAATGTTTCCTGCACTGACAGCACGGATTCGGAAAGAAAATTAGACTTGTGTTAAACATTAAGTTTTCTCTTCTGTATTTAACTAACTGACCGATCGACCGACCGACCGACCGACCAACCAACTCCATTGCGCTTAGTCCTGCTTAAAAGCGAGCAGCTGCTCAGTCACTCAACGAAATTTCCAGAATTTTACATTCACAAGGGCCACTCTGCTTATCCATATCCTGAGCTAGATAAATTCACTCCACGTACATCACATTTCTTCATGATCCATTTCAATATTTTCCTCCTTTCTATGTCTGGGTCTTCCCAAATGTAACAAGATTACCAACCAACAATCACTTGACTCCATAGAGTCTTTCTTGAAAAGCTAACAGTTGCTCAGGAATTAAAAAGTTACTTTATCCTATTTTATGTTAAAATTACCTTGTGTTAATGGCTAAGGAAGAAACTGTGCTACAGGGCATGATTGATAGACTAATTGAAACTGGAAGGTGCTATGGCATGGAAATGAATGTGGAAAAAACAAAAGTAATGAAAATTTCCGAGACAACCAACCCCAGTCACAACAGAGATAGACCAAAAACAACTGGAGAATGTGAAATGTTTTAAATATTTGGGTAGCTTGTTAACAGATGATGGAAGGTGTACTTGTGAAATTAAATCTAGGATTGTCATGACAAAAGCTGCATTTGGTAAGAAGAAGAATCTTTTTACCAGCAAATTGGACTTAAATTTGAGAAAGAAACTAGTGAAATGCTACATCTGGAGCATGGCTTTGTATGGGGCTGAAACTTGGACACTTAGGGCAGTAGATCAGAAACATCTGGAAAGCTTCGAAATGTGGTGTTGGAGAAGGATGGAGAAGATCAGTTGGACCGATTATGTAAGAAATGAAAAAGCGTTAATTAGAGTCAGTGAGCAGAGGAATGTCCTACACGAAATAAGAAAACGGAAGGCTAATTGGATTGGTCATGTTTTACGCAGAAACTGCCTTCTAAAAGAAGTTATTGAAGGAACGATAGAGGGGCGGATATTAGTGACAAGAAGATGAGGAAGAAAACGTAAGAAGATGCTCGATAACCTTGGGGACAGAAGAGGATATTCTCATTTGAAGAAAAAAGCTCTAGATCGCATTAAGTGGAGGAACTGTTTTGTAAGAGACTGTGGACCTGTCGTCTGACAGATTACTGATGAATGAACACCTCCCTCGCCAGTGTTATGGGTTTTCAGATACATTGAGAGCCAATGCCTAGCAACGACATGATACAGCGATTGAGATTAGCTCCTTCTATGGGGCCCAACTGAGTAGGTGTCTTCCTTTCTCACCTGAATATGGAAACAGATTCAGTTTCCGAAACGTTGTATCCTCTATTGCCTAGAATTCCGGACGACGGAAAAAGTTTAAAACCCAGTCATTCTATATTCATTTCTTGTTTCAATTTTAATCCTTTCAAAAAATGCCAGGAGGGGGAAGTCGCCTGCATGGCTCTCTCCCCCTCCCGCCGTGGCCGATGCTCATGCGACAATTATATTTTCTTCTGTTATATCAGTGCATTACCGTGTGCCCTCAGGAGTGAACTCGTCATGCTGATGCTGAGGGCAGAGACACGTCATCCTAACACTAGTTCAATGAATGGCAACAGCACCTGTATTTGTAATGCATGACAGATGGATCTGTATACGCCACATTTAAACACATGACTGGAACAAATGAAGGTTACAGAAAAAAAAAAGAACAACAAAGAAAGAAAATCACGGACCACCGAAAGTGAAAAATGACCTCAAACCATTACTGGCTATGAGAATGGTTTATAATTCACTGTGCGCCTGTAACACGTATATTTCATTCATTCATTCATTCATTCATTCATTCATTCATTCATCCATCCATCCATCCATCCATCCATCCATTAATGGCTCTAAAGCCCTTTGTTGGGCCATGGCCTATAGTTCAGTTTCCTAAGTTTTTTTAC